AAAAACTTTTCATCAATATCATCTCTTGATTCAACTAGTTGCGTTCTACCTGACATAGTCGTCAAACAGGTTGATCCACTGCTCGACATCCGTATCACTCCAGCTTCTGTATCTAAAGTGATTTCCAGCTTAGACTCTTCTACAGATTGCGGCCCGGACAACATACCTGTTATAGTCTTGCAGAAGTGTTCTCCGGAGCTGTCGTCTATCCTTTCAAAACTATTTAACAAGTGCTTATCAGAGTCTTGTTTTCCAGCCTGCTGGAAAGCAGCATCTGTTATCCCTATTTTTAAAAATTCTGGAGAGCGATCTGATTCGTCTAACTACCGTCCCATTAGTCTTCTTCCTATCATAAGCAAGGTTTTTGAATCTTTAATTAACAAACACTTAATCTCTCATCTTGAATCTCATAACCTACTTTCTGATCATCAATATGGATTTCGATCTTCTTGTTCTACGGCTGATTTGCTAACAGTAATAACCGATAGGTTTTATCGCGCATTAGATAAAGGTGGAAAGGTTAAGGCCATCGCTCTTGACATTTCTAAGACGTTTGATAAAGTTTGGCATGCTGGTCTTCTCCATAAGGTTTCTTCTGACGGTGTATCTGGAAACATCTTTAAGATTATCGAACCCTTCCTTTCCAATCGTAGTAAACTCAATTTTTTTTAGCGTTATTGCAATAATTTAGACCTTCCTATATTTATGAACGGTAATGTACACGATGAGTCTCCTACCCTTCATCTTTTAGGATTAAATCTTACTTCTGATCTTTCTTGGAAACCTTATATCAAATCTGTTGCAAAATTAGCATCTGCTAAAGTCGCTTCTCTTTATCGAGCTCGACACTTTTTTACTCTGGATTCTATTCTCTATCTCTATAAATCTCAAATCCGGCCTTGTATGGAATACTGTTGCCATATCTGGGGTGGATCTTCTAATGATGCCCTCTCTCTTCTAGACAAGGTGCAAAAACGCATTGTAAACATAGTTGGGCTCATAGAAGATGAGGATGATAGAACGTCATCCCAATCTTTTTATTAAACCCCTTTAACAAGATTTAATCAAAATATCGTAATATGACAAAATAAAAATTTCAATAAAATATCATAACATAATACGTAATCTGCTAATAAAATTTGTCAAGCAACAAACAAAAGTCGAAACAAAACAAAAACGTATTTAAGAGAATTTATCCAAAGCATTATTAACAAAAAATGTTTCACAGGTTTAAAAGATTTCTTTTTTTGTTAAAAACTTGAATGAACTTAACGAACTCACCAAACCTTTGAACCCTTTTTGAAAAATATTCCATACTTTTGGAACTCGATATAAAATGCTGTATTCTGAATATTTATTTATTATCCTAGGCAGTTTATATGTGTTCAACATATTCGCTCTAAGATTATAGTTATCATTTTTATTTAACTCATTTTCTTCTTGTGTTTTTTTATGAAAAAGTATATAGTTTGTTTTCTCGGCATTAAGTGAAAGTTTGTTAGCTTTAAACCAGTTATTTACTTTATTTAGTTCAATATTCATGTCCGCATATAATTTCTTGATATCATTGTTGGTAAGAAATAAATTCGTGTCATCTACAAACATGACTGAATTAAGTTTTAAGGATGCATTACAGAAGTCATTTATATATATTAAAAAAAGAAGTGGACCAAGAATCGATCCTTGCAGGAACTCCACATATGACATTTAACACTCCAGATTGGGCATTATTTACATTTTGTTTTCTATTTCTAAGCTTTTAATCCAATAATAAGTTTTATTAATTATTCCGTAAAGTCTTAATTTATCTAAGAGAATACAGTGGTCCACTGTATCAAATGCTTTTGATAAATCAAGAAATACTCCTAAAATAACTTTATTCATTTCAAAACCATTAGTTATTTGATTTACTATTTCAATGATTGCATGCTCAGTAGAGAGATTTTTTTGATAACCAAACTGATTTCGGTAAAAAAAATTGTTTTTAATGAAGTAATCATAGATTCTATTATAAACTACACGTTCGAATAGTTTTGAAAATACAGAAAGTACTGATATAGGCCTGTAGTTTGTAATGTCAGAATGATCATTACATTTGTTTAATGGAGTTACTTTTGCTAATTTAAGTACATCCGGAAATATCCCAGAATTTAACGAAAGCTTTAGTATATGTATTAGAGATCTTTGTTTGTTTGCAATAAATATATTACTAGATATCTCATCAAATCCTGGAGCCTTTTTTTTTTTAACGAGGCAAAAAGCTGCCTCAAATTCCTCATAGGTTAATTCATAATCAAGCATTATTCTTGGTTTAAGGAAGGTTTTAAAAGATACAGATGTTAGTACTATTTTTTTACAAGATTTGGACCAATACTTGTAAAATATTTATTGAATTCTTCCAAAATTTGTTTTTGAGTAAATATATCGTTGTTTTCAATAACACTTCGTTTAGGTAGAGAATGTGAATTTAGTTTTTCTCTTCCCATTATGACATTGATTATGGACCATGTTTTTTTGCAATCAAATTTGCATTTGTTAACTTGATTACTGTAATATTTTTTTTTTGCATTTGTAATGAGATCTTGGTAAAAATATTTATAATTTTTGTAATTTTTTTCATTATCATTATTTTAATATTTCAGAAATTTATTGTAAAGTTTTTGCTTTTTTTTGAGCATTTTAATAAGGATCTTTCAATAAGGATTTTTTATCCATCCACGGATTAGCAATTGCTTTAGACTTAATTCTTATAATCTCTTGAGGACAGGTTTCACTAAAGTACTCCAAAAATGTACTTAAAAAAGCATTGTAAGCTCCATTCGTATCTTGACAATTATATACGTTATTCCATGTTTCTTATTTTAGTCTATTAGTTAATTTATTAGTGTTACTCATTTTAAATGTCGTTTCTAAATAATTATTAATAAAAATATTGTCTATTGCTGTTGCCGAGGTTTTTGTTACTCGCGTTGGTTTATTAATAGTTGACAAGACATTAAATTTAAAAAGCATGTCAAAAAAAGATTTTATTTTTGGAAATTTTGTGTTAGAAAGAGCATCAAGATTTATGTCACCAGTAATAAATAATGTTTTATTTTTTTTATTTATTTTTATAATCGTATTTTTAATAAAAGTTTCGAAGGTTTTTATTTTTCCACTCGGTGGACGATAAACACAACCAACTAAAACGTTTCGGTAGTTTTTATTAATAATTTCAATGAAAAGACTTTCATAATTATTATTAGAAAAACATAATATGCTTTTTATCTTGAAAGCATACTTTTCCAAGACATAAATTCCTAATCCTCCTCCTTTTTTCCCACCACCTCGTGGTTGACTAATTAGTTTGTAAAATGGTAAAGTATAATTAGAATTTAATTCTAAGAGTACTTTCTGTATCATGCCAAGTCTCTGAAAGAGATATGACGTCGAACGTGTAATTTAAAATATTTAAAAATTCTTTAAGTTTATCAAAATTTTGCTGCATGCTTCTAATGTTTAAGGAGAGTTTCCACTTATCCGTCACGGGCACTGGAACGGAAAAAATAATCACGTGAGCATTCGTAGTTTTCCTTCGGACATATTAATGCTTATACTACGCATGCCCACGTGATTATTTTTCCCGTTCCCGTAAAAAAACGGATGAGTGGAAACTCGCCTTTATGTGTAATACAGAAAATGAACCATCATCTGTTTTTACTTTAAAATCAAAAAAATCAATATACGGTGTGTTAATTAAGTTGATTTGAGTTTCTTGAAAAATATTTATGTTTTCTGCACATAGATTATTTATATTTTTTATGTTGGCAAACTAGGAATTTTAGTCAGAATTTTAACTTTTCTATTGATTAGCTGGTTAATTGTGATAAATTAGAAAATCGGTGTACGTACTTTTAAGTGAACCTACCCCCCCTACCCTCCATACGCTTTTTGAAGACATCCACCCTCCCCTCTATAAGTGTACGCACTTTATGGACGACCCCTAATTGCTAGAAATGTTTTATATGCACATGCTTATCGGCTTCGTGCGAGTATTTCGTCTTGTGGAAAATTTTATGGGTGTTATATCATTCTTACGGTTTACATTAACGCATATTACATCGAACTTTTACAACGATTCCGATTAAATATTATTTAATAATTTCGATTGACTATTAAAATTTTTTTTCGAATATCTCAAAATCCTTTCGAATGAAATATTAAAAATTAATTAATCTATTTAATCAAAAAAATGGAACCATATCTTTATATAAAATTTGGAGAAAAACAAAAGGATTTTTTTTCTCGAAATTGAAAGGTAATTAAATGTAAAAAAATTGAAATCTAAATGTATATTAACGAGTTGTACGGAAAAAAAAAACATCAAGCCCCAATTATTTGATCTTATTGATGAATGCATCGCCAATTTTCATTTGATTTAAATGTAGATTTATTTTGTATTTCTTTAAGTATTTCAGGAAATTTTTTTTTTAAAGAAGTGTTTTTAATTAATAAATAAAGTTTACAAGGGACATAATTTTTTCAATTCTGGAATGTTTTATTTTATGAGTTGTCATTGCTTATATTGTTTTTTTATTTTTATCTCCTTATTTTATTGATTAATATTAGAGAGATAATATTAGAGAAATAACATTATAGAGAACACATAGAAGATATTGGAGTTGCAAAAACTTTTATAAAAAAAAGGTTAGGCAACTCAAAACACTTTAAACACCAGACAAAATAAAAGTCAGTTATTTTATTTTCTGTCACGTTTTTGGTATAAGCGTACTTTTATGGTGTTGACAAAGTAACAGCTACAACCTTGTGAAAAAATAGCCTAATGCAAAAAAATTTCTTAGGAAAAATAAATTTTTACATCAAGTTTTTATTAATAAATTTTATACTAAAAAAGATTTTAAGCTAAAACAGTGGTGCTTTAGTTAAAACTAGTACATTATAGAAAGTAGAAAAATAATTTACTTAATTAAACGGTCAAAACTTATTTGAGTAATAATTATTTCCATATTTATAATCTAAATATTTATATTATATTTTTTTATAACTTAATTATTAACAACTATAATTTTGTAATTTAAGAAAAAAAAAGCGAAAAAAACTTTTAATAAATTCCGTCAATATACACAACACTCGTGACTTTTTTTCTCATGATTCTAATGACGACGACTCTAACAAAGAGGACGACTCTATCAAATAATCACATTTTGTCGTAATTTCTTTTTTCACCGAATTTGCTTGAGTATAAAACCAACACTCAAGAATATGTGGAAGGAAGAACTGCATATTGCCATCACAAGGTAAAAAATTAAAAAATTCAATTGGAGAGTATGCTCGCGTTAGGCGATGCAGAACACCTTTAAAATAATTTTGTAGATTAAGTATAACTAATTATCAGCAAACATAAAAACTTTAAATTCAAAAACCAAAAAATTTAAATTAAGTATTCTGCAAATAGTGTGTATACCATGAAGTACTTTAATTATTGCTGGTTTGTTCAATTCCATGTCATTATTTTTTAATAACTCAAAAACATATTGAAGCAACGTTTGCCACTATAAAAGATAGAGAAACTCATAAGAATCTAATAGTTACTACAATTGACTTAATTTAATACGTAGTAATAATTCTAATAAATTCAATATGTAGTTATAATTCTAATAAATTGATTAATTCTTAAGAACCATTTGAATCTTAAGATAAAAGTTTGTGAACAACTATATTCTTTACTAAAATAAAAAAATTATGATCAATTAACTTTTAAATATACTCACTTGTGATTTCCAAACAAAAAGGTCATTAGCACATTGAATAGCTAAATCAATGTAGTTTGTCATTAAATAAACCACACACTAAAAAAAATAAAAATAAATTAGTTGACTGATCTTTTATATTTTTGGTCATTATTGTTTGTTGATACAGTTCTAAGAATTTTTTAGAACTTAGACTAAACTTATACTTTATAATTTTTTAAGTTAAAATCCAATTAGTGGATTTTAACTGCAAATATTTTAACAAGCCTTTTAGTGACATGTTTTGAATTACCAATATAAATCTATAATCTGTGACTTATAAATATGGATTAGAATACAGATGAAAATTTTCTTTACATTTTTCTTTGCATATTTAAACGGAATTTACATTATCAAATATTTATGTCAACATTATTTTAGCTAAAAAAGTTTAGATAACTTTGGAACACTGTGTTACAAGTTGTAACATAGTGTAATTTAAATAATAATTATGTATATTGACAAAACTTTCAAAGTTAAAAAAGTCAAATCAAAACGAGAAATACTAAATTGCATAAGTAATGCAGAAGTTATAATATCAATTATAAGATTATTTATACGATAAACTTTTATATTTTTTCTTGTTAAAAGTATTTGCGTATTAAATAAAATTTTTTTTTGAATTTTGATAATTTTTAAGGATTGCTCTTGTGCCTCGATGTTCTTATTTTAAACAATGTTCTTATTTTAGATTTTTTTAAAACCCTTTTTTAATCCATTTCTGAAGAAGTCCAGATAAATGCAAAAGTGCAACTTAATTGACATTTGATATCTAAGAACGTGATGTTGTCATCTAATTCTCCACTATTTTTTCATATTTTTCATAGGAATCCTTTCACTACATGTTTAAATGGCTGCCATGCAGCTTTTTTTAAACTAGACATTATAGTTTCTAAGTCCTCTGACTCTAGCATGCAATGTACTGCAGTCCAGTAAAAAACGCCGGCTTTCAGTTTTGCATACGATAACTTAGGAAACATAGAACATATGTACTTGAAATCTGGTGACTGTGAAACCTGTGCTTTAATGAATTGTTTGGCTAGCCCCAACTTGATATGCAAGGGTGGTAACAGAATCCAATTACATAGTGACCTAGTTTCGAGCAAGGTAGTGTTGATTAGACACTTTGCTGTCCCAAAGGCATAGGAAGCACAAATATTTGATGTACCAACCTTATAGGCCAAGTATGAAGCCAATTATCTTTAAGTCTCCACATACATTCCATTGATATTTAGTGTAGTTTATCTTTTCAAGCAAAAATTTAACATTGTTCCCATCATGTAAAAGCATATTGTTTATAGACAATTCCATTTGTAGCCTCAAACACCTTTGAGGCTACAAATGGAACTGTCTATAAACAATCGCCATGCTCTAGATTTATGCAAGAATCTAGAGCATAGCGATTTATCCAATTTCTCTAAATATACCACCAACACCCCAGCAGAAACACAAGCAATACGCTACTACATACAACTGAGAAATGATGCCTATTCCTGTATTTTGAAATCTTGCACATTGAATTCAATAAGTTCCATTGTTTCAGCCTGGATGCCAATATTTCAGCTCTTCGAGACTTTGATAAACCTAGGTCACACACTAAATCATCCATTTAGCTTTGTTTAGGAAAATGTGGCTGTTTGAAAAGTGATGCCCACCATTCTTCAGATTCATCGGTAGAAGTTATATTATTGTATATTATTTATTAAGTTACTTTATTGGTAAAATTTGATGAAGTTGATGGAATGGGAACTGGCAGCTATTCATTATGTGGAACAGGTGCAACTGATGACGAAATATCAAGATATGTTAGCCTTGATCTATTTGTAATTTTTTAATATCTTGATGTATCGATCATGCAGTCTGTAGTGTGATTTGTTGGTTCTCTCCACACGTGAGGAATGGAAAGTGGCATGATTTTTAATCTCCTTGCAACCAGCCCTCTAAAGCTGATCTGCAAGCACCACATGAATCAAGAGAAGCCCATTTCTTGTCCTAATCACCTATTTGGATCTTAAAATACACAGTATAATCGGTCCATAGCTTGGTCTCACACAATAATTGATATTTTAGCTGCTTTGGCCCAATATAGTAACTGGTAAATCTATATAGTAACTAGTAAATCTGGTATTTGTTTTCCCTTATTTTATTTTTAATTTTGGTTTTAGCTAACTTGTTTTTACTTTTTTTTTGACACTTTTCATAATTATTCTATGATTGATGAGTGAAAAAGCTTAAAAAACAAATATATTACAAAAATATATACCTCAACTTGCATGTATTGAAAATGTTTTGAATATCCGGAAAAACTAATAGTTGAAAAAAATATCTGGAATTCCGGAAATATCCGGAAAAAAAAAATTCCTGGTTTTGAGTTATAAACTCATAGCCAATATGAGTTTATAACTTAAATGAGGGAAGAGAAAAAAATGAGGAAGCAGCCATTGTAGTTGATTCCTTGTGTCCACTCTTTTTTTTTTAATGGTTTTTACAAAAACTTCTTATTTAGAGTAGGTTTTGAGGCTTCTCTTTGCTTATCACACACTCTACATTATCTTGAAATATTTTATTGTAAGTTCTAATGTTAACAACTTTTAAAGATTTTACAAGCTTTGAAACTTATTGTATCTGAATAGTCTCATCAGTAGGCATTTTTTCAAACTATGACTTAGAATAACAAAAATTAACTATGAGTGTGGTGAAATATATGACTGAAGACCTAGTGGTTGGTCTTTATCAACAAAAAAATGCTATCAGAAGGATTTGATTCTACCCATTCTTACACCTTTTCAAACCTCCCTTTGAGTTAAATTACCATTTCTATGAGTGATCTCTGCCAGAAGATGCTAACCTCAGAACCATGATTAATAAATCCAAAAATTTCATTTTACCATGATTTTAATGCTACCTCTGCAGCAGGCTTGTATGCAGTATAATGGCACATCTGCCACAAACCAAGACATTCTATTTTAATGACCAGTGCAGTTATGATATTTGAAAAAACGTTTGCTCCTCAATTTTTTCATTTAAATTAAATAAAATGAAATTATATAAATATATTTTTTAATTAGATTTTGTAAACCATTTTTTGTAAACAATTAAATTGTCATTTAAATGAAATATATTCCTAAATAAAAAGATAAAATATCAAAACTTATGAAGTTATGTTTTACTTTAAAAGCTGCAAATTTAGAAAACTCCTGCGTCAAAAATCATGATGTTTGAAAGAGCGAAATGTAGTCTATTGATCTCTTTGACTATTTTATCACTCAGAAGAAAAACCTGTCCAATTTTGGGGAAAAGCAACTTGAATTTCATGTTACAAAATACCTTTGCCAAAAATCTGACATTTGAAATAGTTCCAGTTTTCTTAATTTTTACCAGAAACTTTTATACTTTGTTTTTATTAAGGTATTTTTAAGTGATATATTTAAGTCTATATATTTCGCATATAAGTGATATTTTAGTCTTTATTTTATCCTTCTTTACTAATTTTTAATTTTTTAAAGTCTATCAGGTTCCTGCAAGTTTTGTGTCCCTCAAAATTCTGGTGATTGAATTGCAACAGCATCGTCTCATTGTTTGCATCAACACCATCCAAGCTCTGCTTCAGAGATTTAAAAAATTCTTTAGTTTTATTTGTGACTATATGAGGACATAATGGTGGCAGGCTAACAAAAATAATGGTTGGCCATGAAACTTAGCTAACCTTTAGCTAACAAACCCCTTTTAAATAGCCAGCATTTGAAGCCGTGGTATCATAAAAAAAAAATTTCATTTAGAAAACAAATTTTTTTTAGATACTCCGTGAATTAAAATTTGTTTTTGAGGGTAAAAATAGGATAGTCTAATAATACTGCAAAATGCAGTGTATGACCAAAATATTATTACTAGTTTAAATGATGCTCATGCTTGGCAGCTAAAAATGATCTAACTACATTGAAAATATGTAATTAGATCTTGCCTAGAGGAAAGACGGACTTATCAGAGAAGCCAAACCAAACATGACAACAGTATTCCATAAAGACTTGTTTTTATGAGAGATCAGTAGTGAACAATAATCCAACAAGAAGTAGAGAACTCAGTATTACTGTTTCTTAAGAAACATCACCAGCCACTGCATGCCCCAAACTGCCACAAAAATGACTATGTTTTGCCAAGACTGTATGATATTGTTGTATTATCACAAAATAAAACTACTTTAAAGGTAAAATTATCAGGAAGATCATTAATATAGATGAGGAACAACACAAGAGAGTGTTGTCAGTCAGTTTTAATACTGCAATTAGAAAAAAAAAATACAATAATTTTAAAAACTTTCTTAAACACACCGTATAAAGTAAGTTTATTGAGAAGACTAGCATGCCTGACTATATCAAAAACCTTTGATATTTCAAGAGTAATAGCCTAGCCTGGCTGCCTCCATCTAATGCACCTATATCTGTTATATAATTGTTAACATAAGGATCAAAATCCTTATGACAATTTTTAGAGAGTAAGGTATTGGACTCAAGAGGAGATATTAAAAGTTTGTTAATTAAATATTTAAAGTCTTTGCTAATAATAGTAAAAAAAACTGATTGGACAAGGTATCTGATAATTTTAATTCCAAAAGTCTGTAGAACCTGATTTCTGACATAAAATACAAGATTTAGTCATCTGAGAATCATGGAAGTGTCAGAAAGAGTATATTAGCTATAATATGATCTGAAAAACCTAATGGAAAACAAAGAGAAACTGAGCACAAACTAGGGAATGGGATAAAAAACAAAGAGTGATGGTAAGTGATTAGGGTTGTCTAGTAAATGAGCCACAAAGTTATAATTCAAAGAGATTAGCAGAGGTTAGTAGGCTAGCAGGGTTAGTTACTAGAGTCAAACCATTTAGTGCAAGTAACGTTAAAATAACCAAACAACAATATAGGGTGATGGATTAAGTGAACAGGCTTGGTCAATATATCAGAAATTACATCAAAAAAATATTGTCTTGCAAAAAAAAAAAAAAAAAAAAAAAAAAAAAAAAAAAAAAAAAAAAAAACAATAAAAGAAAGGTAAATAGGTGCAAAATATTATTTCACAATAAACAAATAAACTGATATGTGAAATAATATATTGATAAATATATTTTATAAATATTATAAAAATATATTAGGATAAGCATGTGTTACGGGAGATTTTGTCAAATCAAAGAGTAACAGTCATCTACATTGATATTTGAAGATTAAACAACCAAATTAAAATTAGTCTCACAAAAAACACATAATTCATCAAAGTTTTAAATTTTTTACACATTTCATTATCTTGTTAAACCTCAGATAAATATCTGATACTTACAAAAATAGTAACATTTTTTATAGATAACTTCAAAGTAAAACAAATCACAACAATTACTGTAAATCATTTAATAAATAATCGTTTAATAATTTATTTGAAATAATTTAACAGTTTATACAATGTTAGTAATACTTCAGCAATAATAAATAAATAAATTTAACAAACCTCTCTAATAAAATTAGTTCTCGACCAACAGAGCAGCATCAAAGTATCTTTTCCCACAAAAGAATATTCATCTAACAATTTCAAAACCTTTAATACTAATTGTTTTGTACAGTACTTTGAGCATAATAAAGACTAAAAAATTAATAATAATATATCAATAATATATATTCATTTTATAATAAAAAATAATTAAAAAAATTAATAAAAATCTATTAAAAACTCATGATTTTTTTAAAACATTGATTAAATCAATTCCCTAAGTAAACGGCTAATATTACTTAAGTTTTTTTTTTTAATATTTAAAAAATTTTTTACAGCGTATTTGCAATAATGGTATGAAGTTTTTAATCACACCTGGAGTTTCAGAAGAATAGCACAACAACAGCAACAGTGACAGTATAACAGGTTTTTAGAATCTTCAAGATTATTAGACTGTGAATATGAAGAAATACTATGCAAAAATGGTTTTCTATTTATTACATTTGATGACATTTGATCCTGCTGAGAGCTACTTTTAAATGTGCTTGGTTTAAAAATGCAATCTTGGGGACAAGGGGTATCTCCTGTAAAATAAATAAAAAAATAACAGGTAAATCATTTAAAAAAATCTATACATCATAAAAGTAAAAATTTAGTTATTAACAAAATTTTAATTTATAACTAAAATGTAAAAATAAACAAATAATTAAAAAATAAAGTTAAAAATGTTAAAAAGTTTTCATAAATTTAATAGAAAAACCTGAAAATGGAAGCATTGAATCTAACCACTTGAACCTAACAGCAAAATGACCATTTCCTTTTGGCTAAAAATTAAATTTTGAATTACTTTTAATGAAAATGTTAATTTAAAATATACTTAAGAGTTATTACATGTAAAAGTTATAGAAGAGTTATTCCATGTTAAAATAAGAAAAAATGTTTTTTTTTTCAACCACCTGGTCAGAATTTTTTTAAACTTTAACTACTTGGTGTATTTAAGACGATTTTTAAATAATTTGTCTTAACTACTTGGTGTAGTTAAGACAATTTTTAAATAATTTGTTTTAACTACTCGGTGTAGTTAAGACAATTTTGACATCATTCAAATTTTTTTATTTAGAATTAGCATGATTTTGTCAGCGCATTATGTCCAAACAAGAGGCTTTAGATATAATGATTTTTTTTGCTTCGTTTTTTTAAAATGTTTAAAGAAACTTTTCTATTTTTTATATAATTTTCTTCAACTTTTTTACTACTCCTAATAGTAAATTTAAAGAACACTATTTTTTGGTCATTAGATCAATTCTGCTCAACAGCGTTAACTTGATTTTAGTTTAAACCTTTTGAAAAAGTGCGTTAACCCACTATAGATTCTAGTTTTAATCTGTTTTGGTACATAATTAAATATAGTTGTTGAAATACAATACATCTATCAATTTTCACAAAAAAGTTAAGAAGACCAAGAAAGAGCAAAAACATCCCATAAACAGATCATATTATTAATCTATGATGTTTATTTCACCTATTCAACATATTAATTTAAAATCTTATTCAAATCTGGACAAGCAATTGTGATTTTTGAGAAAAAATAAATAAAAGAATTTTTGGTCTAGGTTTTTTTGCCAAAAATATTTTTATTTTAAGTTATGGAAAAATTTTAAAATTTCTCTTATTTTAATTTTTTTTCGTTTTGTCATAATTCAAAGACCTGGTCATTTGTTGGAAATATGTCATAATCAGCAAAATATCATACAGACGCAGTAATACTTTAAAATCACTTTAACTTTACCAGTAATATCATAATTGATAGATATGAAAAAACGCAAAATTTCGGCTCTCATCTCCAAATAGTTGAAAAGTTATGATAATTTGAAATTTAACCTTAAATACCTTTTATTTTTGTAGAAGTACCCTTTAATAAATAAGACAAAAAGTTTTTTTCTGTTCCACAATTTGCTTGTGTGTGTATTTACACTAGAATAAGAATAGCTTATCATTTCAAGAAATCATTTTAGTATATAAGACAATTGTTTAAAACTTTTTTACTAAATTTACAATCGCTTTAAGTTAGTTATCAGACAACATTAGTTTTTAAATGAAACCCATAAGAGATTTACTAACTGCTTTTTTAACTTTAAAAAATCTTTGGCCATCAACATCAAACTTTAACAAGTTTTAGAATCTAAAATCATTTTTTGAGGAATCCTCAATTACAGTTTTAATTTTCTTTTTCAATTTTCTTTTTAATGCTTTTAGAAATTTAAAACGTTTATTCTATGGTGGTCTAACATCTTTTGTTTAATATCCAAAGAAACTATTTACCCATGAAGATTAGGCATCTTCAAGATTAAGTAAAAGTGTAACATGGTAATGAAACAAAAAATTTGTTTTGACCATTTCAAAATTTTTCAAAAATATTTCGATTCATTTTTTAATTTAACCTCCTCAAAAATAATCAATTTACTTCATGTAAAGCTTGAATTATTTATGAAAAAGTACTGCTAAAAATCCATACAGGATAGAGTGAGCTTAAATAGAGAACTTTTGATCTAAATTTAAAAAAGAAAATTTTTATGCGTTAAAAGACTAAAACAAGATTTTTCATAAAAATCACCTAAGCTTCTCTTTTTATTTGAATTTTTTTTTGAATCTATGAGAGTTAGTCAACTCCAACTTGAATCTATGAGTGTTTGTCAACTCCAAGTTGAATCTATGAGTTGGTCAACCCCAAGTTGATCAGCACAAAGTTGTCTTGACAATTTTAAAATCAAAAAATAATGATTAAAAAATTTTAATTAAATTATCTTCTCTACATTTTTAGATTTGTGACGTTCATAAATGTGCAAGTGATAACTAGTTTTTTCCACTAGAACTTAAATTATTCACAAAAACCACTGCAAAATCCATAATGACATATTAACACAAATGTGAACAATAACCTGAGTACCATGGCAATCCCTGAGTATTATACACATCTGGAATTTGTAATTTTGTGAACTAGCTAAATGCTAAAAACTTTTATAGAGTTAGCTCTTATGGTACCTAGGTTTTTTCAAAGATTTCACCTTGTGGTACCCAGGTATTTTAGAGTTAGCTCTATAAAAAGTTAGTAGCATTTAACTAGTTCTCAAAATTGTGGTACACAGGTTTTTTTTATAGACCTCATCTTGTGGTTCCAGGTTTTTTTATAGACCTCATCTTGTGGTATCCAGGTTTTTTTATAGAACTAACCTTGTGGCACCAAGGTTTTCATAGAGCTAACCTTATGGTACCCAGGTTTTATATAATAACTTAATATTATATGTATATATAACCTTGTGGTACCCAGGTTACAATTATTTTTATATATACAAAAATCTCTTTATATACTCAAAAAAGTCTAAAAACATTTCAAAAAACTTCATACAACATGGTGATGATTAGTTTCCAGTTTTTCGGAATAATTGCGCTTGCTCACCCTAGCCAAATATTGCTCAATTAAATAAATCTGAAACAAAAACAAATGATTGTTCAATTAAATATATCTGAAACAAAATTTATTTAAACTATTTTTTTAATTTTATATTACTATTAAAAACCTATTTTTTAACTATTTTATTTTTAATGTCTTAATTATTTTGTTGAATCTAAAAAATTTCTAAAAGCTACTAATTTTAATAGTATTAAGTCAAAAATTATGTATATATAACAGCAATAACAAAATATATATATATATATATATATATATATATATATATATATATATATATATATATATATATATATATATATATATATATATGTATATATATATACATATTATTTATTACACTATGGTTTCTGTGACCTGATTTATTGGCAAAAAGTCATTTTTTTAAAGTATAAAAATGACTAAGTGTGGTATAAAGAAAATATACTTTCTTCTATACTGACATTCTATTAACAAATAATGCATCTGTAAAGTTATTTGAAGAGCAAGCTTAAATTAAAGATTTTTATGCGATTCTTATATATTTGTTATTGTACTTATACCTTGAATTTGTTAGTTCAAGACAGATTGAAAAAGATAAATGATTCTGTTAAAAAGGTCAGAGAGAATATATAATATGTGAAAGGATTACAAGGCAAAAAAGCAGACTGTGTTAAACAAATTTTTATAAGCAATGCTAAGAAATTGAGACATGAGAAATAAGACAAGCCTATAAGATGGAATTTAACTTTTTTAATGCTTAAAGGTGCTATTAAATATAGTTGTGCATTTATTATATTTCACATCACATCACATTTTTAAATTTGTAATCTACTTAAGAATTGTTAAAAGTATGCAATGCTTAAAGAGTTTCATCAAAAGCATGGCAGATGTTAAAGAAGCAACACAGATGTTACACAGCTTTAACATGTACTTGAGGTTATTTCATATTAATGAAAACCAATAATCTTATCATTTTTTTTTATATATATATAATACTAAATAATTTTATGCTACTTTATGGCATAACAGAAAATTTAGTAGTATTGGAGGGGCTGACTGAGGATATCACTGACTTAACTGTGACAGTGAATGCAGTTATAGAACTTGCTATTTTCTTTAAATGACAATACTTTATAAGGTATTTTCATACTTATTTTCTGTTTTATCTGGCATGTCTTAAAAATCTAATTTTTTATTTTTGAGCAGTGTAAAAATCTTACTCTTATTTTTGTGCACATCTTTAAATTAAACAATTTTATTGTTGACACAATGACATCTTTAGTTTAAATTAAACAATTTTATTGTTGACACAATGACATCTTTAGTTTAAATTAAACAATTTTATTGTTGACACAATGACATCTTTAGTTTAAATTAAACAATTTTATTGTTGGCACAATGACATCTTTAGTTTAAATTAAACAATTTTATTGTTGACACAATGACATCTTTAGTTTAAATTAAACAATTTTATTGTTGACACAATGACATCTTTAGTTTAAATTAAACAATTTTATTGTTGACACAATGACATCTTTAGTTTAAATTAAACAATTTTATTGTTGGCAAAATGACATCTTTAGTTTAAATTAAACAATTTTATTGTTGGCACAATGACATCTTTAGTTTAAATTAAACAATTTTATTGTTGGCACAATGACATCTTTAGTTTAAATTAAACAATTTTATTGTTGGCACAATGACATCTTTAGTTTAAATTAAACAATTTTATTGTTGGCACAATGACATCTTTAGTTTAAATTAAACAATTTTATTGTTGGCACAATGACATCTTTAGTTTAAATTAAACAATTTTATTGTTGGCACAATGACATCTTTAGTTTAAATTAAACAATTTTATTGTTGGCACAATGACATCTTTAGTTTAAATTAAACAATTTTATTGTTGGCACAATGACATCTTTAGTTTAAATTAAACAATTTTATTGTTGGCACAATGACATCTTTAGTTTAAATTAAACAATTTTATTGTTGGCACAATGACATCTTTAGTTTAAATTAAACAATTTTATTGTTGGCACAATGACATCTTTAGTTTAAATTAAACAATTTTATTGTTGGCACAATGACATCTTTAGTTTAAATTAAACAATTTTATTGTTGGCACAATGACATCTTTAGAAGATTGAATAATTTTAATGTTGGCACAATGACATCAAGTATTCAGTATCTAAATTTAGAACTGATGACACTAGAATGTGGTTAATATCAAGAAAAAAAAAAAAACTGGTTAGATTTTTATCTATTTTGAGAACATTTAAATTTTTGTATGTTTCCATGTTTGTCTGCAAAATAATTATGAAGTTAAATCTTTAATGTGAATTTAAAAAATTTCTGTTTTATGGACATACATGGAAACATATATAAACTTGAATGTTCTCAAACCAACTTAATGCAGAAGTATAATAAGAATATTTCCGAACACTAAAATCCTGCCAAATTTATGAACGATAAAAAATCGGTTCAAAAAAATATGCTGACTAAGCAAAATAAAGTTTAGAGTATTCTGTTAAAATCCTTTAAAAATTGCATTATTCCAGATTTGTTTAGTTTTGAGATGTCTAGCATTAATTGTTTTAAGAGTATATTATTAAACAAACTATTATTTTAATGGCTCATTCTCGGAGTTTTTCGTGCTTGACAAGGTAATAAAAATCTTAGAAAGTATTATTGGCAATAAAAAAGCTGTGCATTTATCAACAACATGCAGCTTTGTTTTAGTATAGAGCCAGAAATATGTCTATTTCTGGTCTTCTTTTTAGACCAGAAAAGAGAACAACAGATGCAATACTTATTATAAAGCAGTTTAAAAAAAGATTTTGAAAAAAATATAAAAAATCTGGTGACATTTGTTGACCTCGAAAAACATTCAATAAAAAAATAACAAGTACCAAGAGAGGTAGTGTTTAGATTGAATGTTTACTGTTACTAGTTGAAGAATAACAGTTATCATGTTTATGTATGTAAATATCACAGCATCACCCAAATCAAAAGACGGAGTGATGGTTTCGAAGCTTATGTGCATCAAGGTTCAATGCTTAATTCTTTCTTTTTTTATTAATGTCTTGGAAGCTTGAAATTTAAAAATATTAAAAATTACAAATTTTAATTTAGTTATTATACTTATTTGTTGGCTTTTAAACTATTTAATTTACAATTTATTTTTAAATTTTTTTATGGCTCAATAAACAATGTGTTAAGGATCCTTTAAGATTCTAAGATTTTTTAGATTCTAAGTATGCTAAATTGTTATGATTAAGAATATCATTTAGAGGAGACTCTAAACTGACACATCGCAAAGTCTATTTAATATACTTATATTTATATATTTATTAAATCAAACTTGTTAAATCCTGATGTAAAATATATTTAATAAATTTCATGCAACTCTAATCAAAAAATTAAAAATGAAACAAAATTGAACATATTTAATATGAACCTAAATAACATGCATGATAATAACATATGCGTGTAATAACATAATATAAAATATATAACAATAAGTACAGCAAAATATAATAATCAATTAAAGATATAAAAATTACAGTTATACAACAGTTAAAAGAGAAATATATTTTACAATGAAGTTGAAATTAAGAGGGTTATGACTAAAAAAAAATTACTTTTTGGCCGGTAATAGGAATAAATGAACTTTTAATACTGATTAGGAAAACCACATTTATTTTGTTCAATTTATAAAAATGTTTCTGCACCATGAAACCTGACAACATGGTGAGTATGATACTTTACCAAAAATATTTCTCTTTTAAAGTATATTAAGTTGGACCTAAAAAGAAGCATAACTTCATAAATAGTTTAAAAAATTTAAAGCTTTTAAACAAAAATCAATTTTTTTTTAAACTTATAAAAAACTATTAAACAAATATTAAAAAAAGTTTTCAAGATATTTTTTTAACCTTTCTAAAGATTACACTCAAAAAAGATTGTTATATATGAAATCTCCATAAAATCCTTCTTGAAATACTATGATCCTTCTGGAGATTATATGATCCTTCCAACTATTGCTTCATTTTTACTGTTAATAATAAGTTTTTAAATAGTTTTTAATTCGAGCTTATGATTAAAACAAGGTTTTATAAAAATAATTTTAGTTATTTACTAATTTATTAACGCTTAAATTATATGATAGTTCAATAAAATTTCAACATAATAGTTCAATAGAACTTCAATACACATAACAGTTATAAATTATTATAAATTATTAATCATCTAACTATTCTTGATGTTTTTTAATAAGATTCTTATCCAACTTTTATAACTCTAAAACCAAATGATTTAATGTCTACCTATTGATATTTTATTTTATTATGGCAACTTTACTGAATAAGATCTAAGCACTTATGACTCGCTGCTTTATATATATTAGCTAATGTTTCTGTATTAAACACGACAGCTAACATGTCATTGGGTGTTTTAGTGTCGGAAAGTTTTTAGAACTAGCTCTAATAATAATTTATAAATAATCAGGTCACAAAAGTTCATTATTTGTGACCACAGGAGAAACAAAATTTTGCAGAAACATTTTCAGTCATAACCCTAATGGTCAACCCTTTATCGATTTATCTTACATACAGCAATATCGGTGAATTGATCTTTATGTTTGACATCTAAAAAAATAAAAACATAAGTGAAAAACCAAGAAATATTAAGTAGGTCACAAACACTTTAAAAAAATCTTTTTAAAAAACACTTTAAAAAACACTTTTAAAATTTAAAAGCCAAAGATTGATGCTAATTTTACAATTGATATTTAATTATTAAGTTAAAAGTGGTAGTGGTGTAGTGGTAGAGCGCTCACTTCATAAACGAGTGGTTCCGAGTTCGATCCCCACCACGTCCCTGGTAGTACCGCGCTCAACTCGTTTCTCCGCGCAGCGGCCTTGTTCATCAAGGTTCGTGTTTCGGAGTTATAGAGTTGAGAGAGGGTTATAACCACAAATAAGTAGCCTCCTTGTCTGTAGTGGCCTTCTCGGCCTTGAGGAGGTGAATTAAAAAAAAAAAAAAAAGTTGTTAAAGGAGGAAGAAAACTAAGTACCTAAAGGCAAGAAAAGTTAGTAAATAAAAAGTAGAAATCTTAGTACCTAAGAGATATAAAACTTAGTACCTAAAGGGTAGAAAACTTAGAACCTAAGAGGTAGAAAATATAGCATATAAAAGGTAAAAAATTTAGCATCTAAGGAATAGAAAATTTAGTATCTAAGGAATAGAAAACTGAGTGCCTAAGGGGTAAAAAATTTAGCACATAAGAGGTAGAAAATTTAGTATCTAAGGAATAGAAAACTTAGTACCTAAGGGGTAGAAAATTTAGCACATAAGAGGTAGAAAATTTAGTATCTAAGGAATAGAAAACTTAGTACCTAAAGGGTAGAAAATTTAGCACATAAGAGGTAGAAAATTTAGTATCGAAGGAATAGAAAACTTAGTACCTAAGGGGTAGAAAATTTAGCATGTAAGGGGTAGAAAACTCCCTGTGTATGTTACCACTCATAATATGAAAACATAAAGATTTTTGTGGCCCAAAAATAATTCTTATGTATAAACCTTTCCATCACTAAGAGTTTTTTTTTGAGAAAAAAGTTTTTCAAGTCCCAGAGAACAATTTACAAAAGTTGAAACATTTGTTAGGATAAACTATGATCAGCAAATATATAAGGCGCTTTAGAGGTAAAACCAAACAATTTTTTGTGATTAAAGTATAAGAGAATTATTAAAACATTTTTTGTGTGATATTGTGATCACATTATAACAGAATTAAAACTTTTTAAATTCTTTTTTGTTTAACTTATTTGTTTAGAACATAAATTATAAAACCAGAACATTAAAATTATTACTGCAAAGTTATAAGTTAACAAAAGTAGTTAACAAAAGTAGAAAATTTTATATCTACTGATTTACTGCTATAAGTTTTTCATTTAATTCAAAGTTTGTTTATCAATTCAAATTCAAAATTTATAATAATTCAAAATTTATTTTAAAAATTAACCATAACAATAACAATAATATATAAAAATAACCATAAAAATAAACCAGCTTAAATTTCTGCATATAATATTAAACCTCATTAACTTTTAATTTTAATTTTGATATTTAAATAGCAGAAAATTAAATCTCTGAAGTGAAAGGCAATTTATTAGTTATTCATTAGCTGTCAGTTCCTTATATTTTACATTTAATTATTAATTAAAAAAATTTTTTACCATCAAGAATTCCTTCTAAAACTCTACATACATTATAGCTGTATACAGTTTGCCCATTATTACTTTTCTAATTGGAAAAAAAATATATTTAAAAGAAACAATTTTTATTTTATAGAATATTTTAAAGATAATTTTATCTGGAAAATATTTAAGTCATTTGAAAAATAATTTGACCTGAAAAATATTAAAAATATTATAAAAATATTTTTACCTGGAAAATATTTAAGATTGTAGGAACATCAATTTTTGCATCAGCGAAAAGAGAAACCAATATTTTTGTGAAAACAAACTTAAACCTTTTTTTTAATAACTAAAAAAAAAATAATTTAAAAACAATAAAAATAATAATCATCAAAATAATTTGGAAAAGATGACTCATAATTTTTGTAACTTTAAAAGCAAATATTTTATGTTACAAAGTAAATAAGCTTCACTTTGCTTATTGTTGATAACGTGATCTTAAAATTTATTCATAAAATTTGACCTCGGAACTAAACAAGAATATTTTATTTTTTTCAAATTTCATTTAAAGTTTTTTTTTTTTAGTTAAAATAAGGTTAGTTAAAATAATCTAAATAAATGTAGTTTCTTGAGATTTATTTTTTTACTTTCAAAATTTGATATTTACTTTTTAAAATTTAAATAAAAACATTTTATATTTCTTTTAACTTTTGCTCTTTTTTATATTTTTAAGTTAACTTACATACATTATCCTACATTGTAAAAATTTTAAATTCACATTAAATAAAAATATTAGGTTCATATTAAATAACTTAAGGCTGATGGCAATCATTATAAATATTTTTTACTAAACTACTAAATTTAGTGTCATTTAGTTGTATATAACATACATTTAATATAAAATATACCTTTTTAGAATCACCTTAATAAAACTTACAAGTAGAAATATCTTTTAACAAGTCTGAATGTCTCCCTGATATAAAGTATAAATATGTGATACCTGGCATAAATATGTGATACCTGGCAAATTGGAGATGTAAAATTAGATGTCAACAAGTCATAGTGGTTAATGCAAACTGTTGCTAAAGAATCCTAAACAAAGATGTAACATTAAATATAAAAAAAGAAGAGAAAATTCTAAATAAATTATTTGCAACATTTTGTTTTCCAAATAACAAAAAGTTGGTCAAAAAACAGCTTTTTGAAATCCCTAACTAAAAAAAAAAATCTTTTTTTGAAAGAATATTAAAAAAAGTTCAATGTATATTATTCTAATGAAGCTGCAATGCCCACATCTTCATTGTGATGAGTCGACATCCTAATTGTGATGAGTCTACATCCAAACTACAATGAGTCTACATCCTAACAAAACTTATACTTAAAAGTAAGATTTCCTTCATTCATCAAATAATGCTTTTTGTCTAAAAATTTATTCATTTGATTACCGAAAATATGAAAAAAAAAAAAAAAATGTCATGAGATAAAGTATAGAGTTTACTAAATTTATCAGCTACATTTTAAAGACTCATTAAGGAGTTAAAATTTCAATAAAATATAAATGTTTTATGTTGAGATTTTAACACTTTTTAGGGAGTCGTTAAAAATTTAGCAAATAGAGTTAATTTAGTTTTTTTTCTTGTGTCTACTTTAATCATGTTGTCAATATAAAAAAAAAATCTTTTATTTCTTTGGTTAGTGAGGGCCCCCAACTAAAAAGGAACTCTGTGCAATTGAACAGCCTGTCCATATATCCTGCCAATATCCAGGCCTAAAACTAACAATAAAAATCACCAAAATGTATATAAGCCAACACAATTATTATTGTACTGATTGAGCAAACAAAATACACAGAAACTTGATTGTTATTATTTAGGTAAGGCTATTCAATTTTTTTACTCAACAGAATTTTTTTTTGTTTTAAATTGAAAAAAACCTTTTGATTAAAAGAAGACCTAACCAAACATAAACTCTTGGATGATATAGCCAAAGCTACAGTCTATGGTCTGCAGTTTATATCATCGATGAAAAGATAACTAATAATAGTATAACTATTACACTATTAAATAAAAAATAAGAAGAAGAATAATATAACTATTATGAAAAATAATAACAGTTATTAAGCATAAAATATATAACTAATTCCACAACTCTGCTTTTGCATATCTATCCACAATGCTACAAAACTTATTCATTACAGGAATATTAAAATTGTGTATTTATCATAAATCAATTACCCTCAGAGGTTATTTGTCTAATTATTCACTGTTATTTATACAATTTTTATATGGAACTATAGGAGTGCAAAAAATAGTACTAAATTTTCAAAACTAAAATTTATATTGTCAAATTCATGCATTTAAAAGAACATTTCAACTAAATTATTAAATTCAAATCAAACTATATGACTAAAAATATGAATTAAAAAAAACTTCTTCCCGCAATAGAATTTAAAGAGCATTTTTTAAATTATATTTGTTATAAATGTATGGTGTATGGTATAGAAGTATTATTACATTAAACAAAAATAAATAAAAAACAACCCTACAATTAAATTTAAAACATAAAAAACTTCAAAACATAAATAAATATTGTCAACAAATGTAACTTTATAAAATGTAAAGCACAATAATTTTTATAATATACTATTTACTTGACTTGTTTGTTTTTAATAAAACATAATATAAAATGCTATCAAAAAATCATAATTTTTTTTTAAACATTTTAACTTAACACATTTATACATAATTGTGTGCAAATTTAGTGTGCAATTAAACCAAATTGAATTACTTACAATTGTCTATATAACATAACAAAATGTAAAGCTCCATATTGTATCAGAAAGATAGAACCTACACATAGATAATCCTACCTACCAAATGTCTTAAACCAATAGTCAATGCATAAATACCTATGGTATTCCTATTTCAGTAACATTTATTCAGGGTTCGTAGCCACATATTTATAAAAATTTCCCTGACTTTTTTGAAAAATCAGATGAATTTCCCTGACCATTTTTAACATTTGCAATGGTTTTTACAAAATGTTAAAAATTACTACTGTAATGAAAATTCTAAAATGTACATGCTTAGAATGACAAAACTTCTAAAACTTAGCTATTAGTTAAGTTGGATGTTAGTATAGATTTTATTATGCATATTAGTATGGATCTTATTATTAAGGATGACTAAGAATAAACAATAAGAAGTTTCAGGTGAGCTTCTTAAAAAATCTAAATATTATGTACATAAAATTTAGTTTCAGATGATCTTCAAAAAAATCTAAATATTATGCACATAAAATATTTTATATATAATTATTTTTCACTAACACAAAAATAAACTAAAACGTCTATGTAGATATCTTTCAACATTTTGAGCAATACTTGGTCTATAACAGAGACTACTTTGGGTCATTTTTTATCACTATTTGTAGCTGTACCTTTGCTAATTCAATAATACCTCCAGATAAAAATAGCACAGTATAACAAAACATGATTAGAAACATTTAAAAAAAAAACTTTTAATTAATTTTAAATTGCATATATTTTTTAAGCAAAATCTTATATTGAAAATATAATTAAAGTTTTTTAATTAGCCATATTTGCATAAATGTCAACATAAATAATATTTTATATAAACAAACAAATTGTCAAAAAGCAACTATTGTTAATTCAGTTTCTTTCTCTTCTCTTCTAATATCAATAATGTTTCCTGCAACTTAGCTACGTCTTTCATTTTCTCCTCACTTTTCCTTTTTAAAGCATTCGCTTTCCTGACCAATGATAAATTGTTTTCTTTTTCTGCTTGTTCCACAGTTAAGACAAACTCTTTTTCTAGCATCGATGAAGTTTTTGTAAGGAAACCCATTTTAGATTTTAGCTCTTCAATTTCAGACAAAATAATGGCTTTCTGATAACATTGCATGTTTTTTATTCTTTGACTTCTCTTCCTCAAGCATGATCTGGTATTTTTTATGTGCAGATTTAAAGACAACTTTCATTTCTGATGTAATCTGAACAGAGTGGGGGTTGAGGTTGTTGGTAAGCATGAAATCACGCACAAGACGCCGTTTAACAATACCATCTGTTGATATATTATTGGTAACCACATCCTTATTGACACTAAACCCCCGTTCAACTAATGCCTGTTCATAACTCAGAGTCACAACCAATTTAATGACAGATGACAACTCTGGATACTTTTTTATGTCAATGTTTTTTGAAGTAAAAATCATCAAGACGTTTATTATTTTGATCATAACTAATGAAAACATCCTGATTCATAGCAAATTCTGATGAAATAAACTTTGAGAACTGGCTGATAACTTTGTCAGAATAAGAAGCAGTTAATATTCCAAGTGAAATAAGATGATGCAGCAATATTTTCATTTGATTCCTATTTTTTTCAGGTGTGATCTGAGCATAAAAATTTGGAAGCAAACAAGTACTCGTGTTAACAATCACGGAATCAAGGGGACATCTTTTAAATAACTTTTCAGCAGCTGAAATCAAAATGTGCATGCATTGAATTTTAAATTCTTTTATATCCTTCAAAATAACTGCATCATTTTTTCTGAGCTTTGACAGTGATAATTCAGCAGCAAACCCAATATCAATTTCACTGGGTTTCAAATAGTTCTCTTTATTTTGCAGATCAATTTTGGTAAGTTTTGAGGTAGCCTCAATAGTTTCAGATTTAATGAACATCCTAAGAATACTCTAATCAACTGCACAAGATCACCATTCATGTGAGGCAACATTGGAGCGTCAGTCTGATAGAGCTTCAGAAACGGTTCAAACATGCTTGCCAGGTAGCTAAAAAACTGGAATTTTACAAGGGAAAGTTCTTTTTTAACAGCATTTACAACAAACTTATATGATTTGCAAGATGGTCGTTTACTTTTAGGCAGAGACTCCCAATAATTAACAATTTTTATAATAGATGGCCAAATGCTAATTAATCTATCCGCTACCTTTTTGTCTTCAACCCATCTGGTTGCGCAAAATGATAGCGGGAACACAGAACCTTCAGTGATACTGATAGTCACTTCTTCTGGCAGGAGAATCATGAAATAAGGTAAAGCAGCTTTTAAATGTCTTTTTAAGTTTCCAATCAGTTGATTCTACTCCTGTTTTGAAAGCACCATGAATTATGTGTAGGGAACAGCAGCCTATGTCAATAAGTTTAGATAATTTGTGCTCTTCACATTTGCTTTGAATGTCTCTGTGAAATTTCAAGTTGACACTGGGTCCATCCATAGAAACCTGAACAATTTTGCTGATATTAATATCACTTATCTTTTCATTAAAATGATTTACCAAATCAAGACTAGTACTATGTCCCATAATTCCAATACCTCACTTCAACTTGTATTTTTTTCCTCATTCCAATACCGGATGAGTAAATCCATTTGACAAGTTTGAGTTTTTTTGAAGGATTCATCAAAGGATACGACAAGCCAAGGAGACAGGCTCATTTGTTGTTTAAGTAAACCTTTAAAGGCCCAAGACCATGAGTGATGCTATATCCAACTTTATTTGGTCCCATTTGAAAAGATTTAGCAATCTCACTGTCAGGAAACATTGCTTGAAACAAATTTGTCACATTTTTGTTTGAATTGTTAGAAATTCTATTTAAGCAACAATGAAATGCCCACATAATTTCTGCACAGATTTTATTAGAATTTGATACGATGAGTTCTAAAGATTGCTGCTTCATTTGTCCTGTTGAGAAACTATCAGTTATCTTTAAATTAGACTCTTCTACTGAATTAGGTGAATTAGTATTTTTAGAGGCAGATGATTTAAAAAAACAAGAGAAATTGCTTGCAACTGAAACATGTTTTTTTCCTTTCTCGTGACTTTTTATTGCTTGAATACCCATGTTTGAAAGTTCAATTATTTTATTGCATAATTTGCATTTTGCCTGGGCGTTATTTTTCCCTTTCATTAGCCAATACTTTTTTAATAAAAACTTTCAAAAGTTTTCAACAAAGTTGAAAATCTTTGAAACTTTCTGTAACTTATGAAACTTAAAATAAAAAAAGAAGTTTTTCGCTTTAAAGACACAAAAATGTTTAAAGTTAAAGATGCTGTTGTTTATAGAATAAATTACAGAAATAGTTTTAAACGATTGAAATTGATCATAAAAAATTAGTTTTTTTATAATAAATAAAAAAAAGGAATTATTTTTTTTATAATAAATAAAAAAAAGAAACATACACTATTATTGTAAAAATAAAATAACCATAGATAATTTAAATAAAATATTTTTATTGATTAATATTTTAAAACAATTGTTAGTAATAAGAGCGTTTTTGCCTAATAAAAATACATTTAAAAATATTCAAGTTTTAAAAAAGTTAAAAAGCCGTGGTCAAATTTTTAAAAATAAAATATTATATGCGCGGTAAAGGTGTGCCATCACATGCCTTCCTGTGAAACACTGTAGGGTATTTTTTAATTGTCAAAATAAATGGGAAGCACCAACAGAAACATAATAGCTTATTTGTAAAACGAGTAGTTTCTCAATTCTCAAAGTCAGAATTCCCTGACTTTTCCCTGACTACCTAAAAAAAAAAAAAATTTTCCTGACTTTTCCAGGTTTTCCATGACTTTAGCCAAATTTGGCTGATTTTCCAGGTTTTCCAGGTACAGTACGAACCCTGTTATTATTAACAACTTATTAACAACATAAAATACAGGCCTAACGCTGCAGTAACTAATAGATGAAGACTCACTTTTGTCATCATGTTACAACCTTGCCACTGTGTCAACTTTTTGAGTTTATTACCAGAGTTTTTAATTAATTTTTTAAAGTTATCTTCAACATGTTTATTTAGATCAGTGCACTCAACTCGTTTCTCCGCGCAGCGGCCTTGTTCGTCAAGGTTTGTGATTCGGAGTTATAGAGTTGAGAGAGGGTTATAACCACAAATAAGTAGCCTCCTCGTCTGTAGTGGCCTTCTCGGCCTTGAGGAGGTGAATTAAAAAAAAAAAAAAAAAAATTTGGGTGCAGATCTAAATACACCAAGATTTATATCTATATATATGCATATCTATATATTGTATTTTTAAATATACCTCTGATATTTCTTTAAGACAATTTTCAGCTTGAGTTGGATCTCCTAGCTCCATATTTAAAATAGCATAGCACAAATAATCATAGGGACGAAATCTAAATGTTGAATTTAGTAATTAATTTATAATTACATATAAAATAATTCTCAAATATAACACATATAAACACATATAACAGCATACTTAGATTGACACTCTGACCTCATACTGAAAAAGGTAACTGTTGAGGCTTTAGTACATTCTTTGCTTTTTGCTTCTTATTGCAAAAAACAAACAAACAAAACCGTATTGATTTAAATTGGCAAAAAGAGTCACCAAATGCATAACTATATGCCTTATATTATATATATACTAGTAAAAAAACTTATCTAAATTACTTCTACAGTCTGTTTTACCATCTGTAGATTTAACAAGAAGCGTGTTTAAGCATCAGAAAATTCAAGTTATAAAAAAAATATTTCACAAGCAGTTGGGAATTGTTACAATTAATTAATAACTGTAGTTATATCAAAATTAATTATCACCAAGAAATTACATATATATATATATATATATATATATATATATATATATATATATATATATATATATATATATATATATATATATATATATATATATATATATATATATATATATATATATATATATATATATATATATATATATATATATATATATATATACAATTTCTTCTTTTAGTTGGCAAATATACTTTGGCAGCAGTCTCTTTTATTTATGACTAAAAGATTGTTGTGTGGTAGACATAACATTTTTTCTACTCGCCTTTGGTTTTGATCATAATCCTGATAAACAATATATCACCAATATATTATTTACCAGGATTATTTTGTGAGAAAACTTTGTAAATTTGTAAATAGTGCAATTAAAATTTTGTTTGGAATTAAAATTTTAAGTATTTTTTTTTTTTAAATAAAACTTATTTTTATTAATCAGTACAACATTGTGACCTTTTATAATTCTTTACTTTTTGTGCAGCTATAAATTACTTTAATTTCTGTTAAAAATTTTGTGCAATTTATAAGAGGGAGGTAAATGTCCATTTATTAATTTTAAAAATACTTTTCCAATATTTGTTGAAGCAATTTTGCTTTGGAAAAATGCTAATTTGGAGCTTTTAAAACTGTTATTGAACTAAATTTCTATTTCACTTTTTTTGCAATTTTTGTTTCAGATTTTAGGTTGAAATTCAGATTTTAGGTTGAAATTCAGATTTTAGGTTGAAAAAGAGCATATTTATACACAGGTTTAGAAGAGTTAAAAACATTAAAAGAGTTTTAATTTAGTTTATTGTTAATTGAAATAGAAATTTGCTTTAAGTTTGGGAGGGAGTGATTTGAATTTATATTAATATGTAATCTATTTTAGTTTTAGCTGATAAAACAAACAACATATACCAAATTTCAGCAGGTAATCATAAAATACTGAGCAATAATATCTCGAACAATTATGCAAAAGCACTTAAATTTTAAAAAATGCAATTAATATAGAAGGCCAAAACATTGCTAAAATAATTTAGATAATAGAATTTTTGTTTTGTAAATTTTCTTTGGATCAAGAAAATTTACTAAACAAAAAATCTGAATTAATTTCTAAATGCAGACATGACTATCCTTTTTTTTTTTCTGAAACCTTTTAAAAAATTATAAAAACATATTACCAACTAAAATTATCCTAATTCTAAAGAATTCATTTTACATTTAATTTTTGAAAAAAATAATGTAGCTAATGTAACTTCCTAGTTGCAATATAACTAAGGTTATTTTATAATAATAATAATAATTTATAACAATTCTGAACTTCCAGAGAAAATTTTTTTTATAATATAAGTTTTCAGATATTTTGTAATTCTTCCTGATAAAACTCCAAAAGGTGAAACAGACTGTAGAAGAAATTTAGAAATGTTTTTAATATTTCATTATTGCTCTATTCTTTAAAAACATTGAGCACTCTATTTGTAGAATACACTAACTTAACTTATATATATATATATATATATATATATATATATATATATATATATATATATATATATATATCCCTAAATCAGTCATACATATATATTTTTTTAAATGGAATTTTCTCTGAAATTTCACTTCCAACTAGGCTAACTAAATTTTGTTGTTGTAACTTATTTATTATGCAATCAAACAATCATTAAAAAAGCCATAAGCAATGAACTTTTTTTCTGTTTTGCGCTGCTTTCTGACATATGAATCAAAGGCACGTGTAATACTGACGCAAAATTGGCTGCTGATTTGATACTTGCTAATTGACTCAGCACATACTCAACAGCAGCAGTTTGCTTAACAGCAGTTGGTGGAAATAAAAACTTTTTCACAACATTGCAGAAACACAAACACAACCATTGCAGCCATAATGATTTTATTTTTAAATTGAGGAACAGCATGGTCACTGAACATGTGTACTTCTTTGACTTGATTAGAAATAAACTAAATAATTTTGTTGATGTACGATTAATGATGATGCTGATGTTGATGCGGAAGACTTTGTATGATAAGTTAAATCAGAAACTATGTTTTTGATTCAACTTATCATACAAAGATATAACATTGAGTTAAAAACATTTGCGATATCATCACAAATGATTTTAACTCAATGTCCCAGACTGCAAGGGTCTCTTATTTCTAATTTGGTTTAAGATCATTTCATTGAAACACTTTGTGTTTTAAAACTTTCTAAAGAGTTTTTAATGTTTTAAAGAATCTCAACTGTATTTTGTTTATAATAAATTTACAAATTCAGATTTTTTTTCTTATCGATATCAAAACAGATTATGCAATTATTGAATACCATACGATTCTTTTTATAATTGGTATTAACATTAGCATATAAGCAATACCACACAATAAGAGATTATCCGTCTCTGTATTGTCTTGTATAATACCAATTATCTAGTTTCTAGTTTTAATGTTATAAAACAATCAAAAAATTTGGATTGCAAAATTTTCAAGTAATGCATATAAGTTTTTCTTTTCTTTTTTGGAGACTTCACTAAATAGTACGCTTGCTTATGATTACTATATAAAAAATTTATATTTATAATTCAATAAATAAATAATAAATAATAATAAATAAATGAACCTGCTATCACTTTTGAACTTCATCTTTGATAAATAAGCCAGAGCAAGACCTAAAAAACGCAAAACATAATAATTTTGTTTTGACAAAGACCTAAAAAAATTTAATAAATTAAATTTACCTGGTTCTATATTGTTTATTCGAGAATCGAAAATAACTTTTGAAAGCAAAAACGGTTTATATTCACAATAAATATCCAGAATGAAAACTATAACTTCCTAAAAAAAAGAAAATATATACCCTAACTTAAATATAATCAAAAAAATTCAATTAAATTTGGGTCATAAAATTTTCAAATTATGCACATAAGTACTTTTTTCTTTTTGGGAAGTACTTTACTAAACATTATGCTTGTTAACAATTAGTATGCAAAAAATAAAACTTATTAAGAATGTTATATTTAGAAATTTTACAAGCTTGCTAATACCTTGTTATACACTGCACATATTATGCAACAAAAGAAACAGTAATAAAAAATAACAAGTACAAATAAATATAAAAAACAAGGACAAAAAACAATAACAACAAAAAATTAATCTATTTTTAAATTTTTCTAAAAAAGGATGTAATGATGTCTAGAGACTATTAGTCTAGAGTCTAGAGTTTTTAGTATTATTAGTATAGAGATTATTATTTGATGATTTTTCAAAACATTATTTATTAATACCTTTAATACTTTATTTATTAATACCTTTAATAATAACTTATAAATAATAACTTTAATAATAACTAATAAACTTTTTCAACATTTGAAAGAGGCCCCCTTATAGGTTAGCTTACTTGAAAAATTTGCTTTACATTTTTTCATGCTATTAAAATTTACAACCAAACAAAACTTTTATTCAGTGACCTTTCAGAATTAAAGTACAACTCTGCTAGAGACAGAGGAGTTTTGTGATCTGAAATCATTTTGCGATCTGTTTATCTTAAAATTCTACTACTGTCCTTTTTGTAGGGAAAAATTTAGAGTTGGCTACTACATACTGTTTATTAAATAATTTTTTTTATTTGCTAAATTTTTTTTTTTTTTAATTTTATTTGTTTATTTTTCTTTGCTTGATAGTTTAAAGATTTATTCTGTAAATCTTTAAACTATCAAGTAAATCTAATCTTTTATTCTGTACAATAAAAATTTTTAAAAATTATGCAGAATGAAAAATAATAAACTAAATAATCTTGTTCACAACATGCTATTAAAGGATATGTTTATATTAAAGTTATGCTTACAAAAATTATATTTTAAAAATTTATTTATGATCAGTGACCACTAAAATTTAAAAAAAAAAGGGTCTAACAACTAGTGATTAAAAGAGTTTATTAAAAAACTGACTCACTCATTCTTATCATTAAAAAATTAAATATTATTTAAATTTTAATGAACTCATCTGTACCAGGGTTTGCAAAAATTCAAGAAATTTCTATTCTTGGGATTCTGGATTGTATAATTAATCCCAGAATCTACCAGGACATCCCGGCATTATTTTATGCTTTAAAACTAAAAGAAAAGTCATAATCAAATTAAGTATATTGCAGTAAAATGAATAAAACTTGTACATAAAGTTATTTATTTTGTCTTTAAAAAATGCAGAAAACTAAACTATTATCACTTAAGCGACTTCTTATTTTATTACAAATTAGTCCTGTGGAGAAAAATGTCCTTTTCAAAACTTGCTTTTTCGATACTTTGTTTCTTTCGACGCTCGTTGGCTTAATCATCATTAAAAAATCATAAACTTTCTAAATCACCTCAAGTATCACTTTCAAATAATGACATTTCTTTTGACAATTTAGAAGTAAGAGTTTTGCCTAATCTTGAAAAAGAATTTCTGAGTGTTGCTAGAAAATCTTTTTCTAGGGCTTCATTTAGTTGCGCACTAATAGTTTTCAGCATTTCATTATCTGCACTTTTTGGTATTTCATAATTTTCTTCACATACAATATCTTCAATTTTATCCAAGGAATTTGTAGTGTGATTTAAATTTGTTACATTTAATCTATTTAGAAGCTTCAACATTATTTTTTTATTTTTAAAATTTAAATATGTTTCAAAAACTTCACTTATGGGCATTAATTTGTTTTCTCTGTAATGTAGATAGTGTAGTAGACCATTTAATTCAGCCCTTTGCTGTTTGATTCTGGAGGCTAATGCATCAACAAGTTGACAACTTGTTGTAGTATTCAGTTCTTAAAAATTTAGAATAAACTCTAACACAATATCAGCAGGTTTGCATCACATTGACAAAGCACTTTCACTGCTGCTTTTAATGGAATTAGCACATTTACTAATTCAGAAATATATTATAAACAATTTCATACTCATTATCTGACATTATTATAGCATCATTAATACTGATATTAACAAGCGTCTTTTTTATGCAATTTTTTAACTTATGAGACCTGTTAAGCATTAATATTAAGCTACTCCATCTTGTTTTAACACCTTTGATTAAATGAAGGTTTTTTTAAAATAAAATTACATACTTTTCAACTTGCATTGTCCCAATGACAATTTTTGGAATTTAGGTTTAGTAAGGATACAATCCTTACCAAACCTAAATTCTAAAAATTGTCTCTATCATGTAAATTGATATTCAAGTAATGGGTATATCAAATAGATGTCCACTCATCAAAAGAAATTAAAAACTTTTTAAAAAAATTTCACTGTTAATTTTTTGTCTTGATTCATTTCTTATAACATTCTTTATATTGTTAGAGAAAACCATTTTTTGAAAACTTCTATACCATTTTAACGTTTTGAGATTTAGGTATGTTGACAAATTGCCTTATAGACACGTTTATCAATAGAAATGCATACTACATTAAAAGAAATCCCATCTTTAGCTGTTAATCTTGGTAGCACCTCAGACAAGTTGTCTTCTTTATTTGTATTGGATGAAAACTATGAACTAATTTATTTTTTTACTCTGTGGTTCTTCTTCCGATGTTGGAAAACATGCCAGTTCTGCTTTTAAATTTATGTAATTGAAATAGATGCGAATGAAAAGCTTTTGTTGATCCGGCATTAATTTTCAATATTTTTAAGGGCTTAGTTTACACATTGGTGTTTCACTTTCTTTGTTGCACAGAAAAAGTTTCCATATAAGGTTTTGCTGTCAAACTCTGTGAAATTTGACATAGTATCCTAATTTTACAAATCAAAAAAAAAAAGTAAATAAAAGAATTTATTAACTATTTTAACTTTCTTATTAAGTTGAATTTTTTAAGTTCAATAAATTTAAATAAATACACTCTATTCCTACAAAAATACAATATAAATCAATAAAAATAAATTTTTAGTTTTTTTCCCATTATTGTTATTATTATTGTTGTCACTATTATTTTTATTATTTATATTATTATTATAATTTAGTCTAAATAATTAAATTTAGTTTCTTACTATTTCAAAATAAACCGACCAGTAATGGTCACAATATATAAGATTGATTAAACTTACTTTAAAATTATAAATCAATAATGAAAACATTGCATTGGTACTAAATTTTATAGCTTTGTTTTTACTTTTGTTTTATTTGACGCAATTTAAACCCAGGTATTAATCGATAAACCCAGGTAATAACCGTCATTTTAATTTTTAAATCCCGGGAATTCAGGGTTATCAAATTAGACGGGATCCTTGGATTTTGGGATCCCGGGATTGCAAACCCTAATCTGTACCAGATATATACTTGTAATTAAATCTGCACCAGAAGAATAAAAATACACAAAAAAAAAAAGATAAATAAATATAAATTATATGCAATTACTTTATCAAGACAAAGCATTTTGTCATTTAACAAAAACTTTTTGCCTGACACTTTTTTGTCACCAAGCACCATTTCATTTAAATAAACAATCATTCCAGGACCATACTTCTAAAATAAGAAAATAGATATGATAAAATTTATTTCATTTACACATTTTTACTTTATCATTTATAAAATTGAGCATAGTATATATTACATTGTATATATTTGTTATTTGTATTATTTTATATATTACTTCTTTATTTAAACTTACCTTAAAATTACACAAAAATAAAAATAAATCAAATAATTGTATTCATATAAAACAATTTCAATTTTTTCTATTTCATAAAATTTACTGTTTTAAGGTTTGTTTTTTTCTGAGAAGTATTATTCTCTGAGAAATTAAATTGTTATTCTCTGAGAATATAACAATAAAATGTGGATTCAACGTGTGTAGCATATGATCAAACTTTTTGGTTAAAAAAAAGTAATTTAAAAATTTTGATTTAATAAATTTTTAAATTACTTTTTTTACTCTTATGATATTTAATATCTTAAATGTTATTTAAACTTAGTATAAAATTTATAAAACATATTTTAAAATATATTAAAATCTGCAGCTAAAATTGCAGCGTTTTTTTCATAAAATGTACTTTTTATGTAACAACATTTTCGAAAACCGTTTTGTTTTTTTCCTAGTTGCAGCAATTTAAAGCTTAATAATGAGGTTATTGAAATAAACTGTTAATATGACACATTTTGCTTTTATTTTCATATAAAATCAATCTAAACGTTGCAGAGGTGGTTATGCCTCCACTTCTCTTACATTTATATAACACATGAGTCATTCCATGCCAACTGGACCAAGGTCCAGCATGGACCCCCTCAGATTTTGATGAAATTTGGTGAAATTTGTTAATATCAATGAGAAAAGCAATTCCTGAAAATTTCAGCACAAAATCATTTGTGGTTCATGAGATATGGTCATTTGAAATTTCTGATTTTTCCAAAAATAAAAACTTCTGCAGCAAAAGCATGTTTTGCTCATACTTTGAAGCTTTATATTTTAAAAACAAAATTTCAAAAAGCCTTTTAGTTTTTTTTATTGTATACAACTCTAGACTTGAACTCTAAAGTTGAATACAATAAAAAGATGAGTCAATAAACAAAACCCGCAGTTTAAGAAGTGAAAATAAATATTTTTTTAGTTTCTATATATGGTAGGCTTCTAAATTTTTAGAAATTTACTGATTAGATACAATTCAGTAAATAATTATAGACCTCTAAAAATGGCTGCAGCTAAAACTAATATGTATACTATGTTTATATTGATATTTTATTAAACAATAATATTCTTTATTACATAATCAACTTGTGCATTTTGTTGACAAGTCAAATAAAAACTCTTATAACTTGGTATAAGTTGTAACCTAAATTTAAACATGATAATCAAATGAGTCAAATTAATGGGGAAGGGTGGAATAGTGAATGTATTGGAAAAATATTATAAAATTTATAGTCATGATATCAAAAATTAGGTAAATTAGGCTAAAAGTCTTTCGTTTCAGTTTTACCTAATAGGCTATTAATAATTTTTATATAAAAGCATTAAAAACTAAATTTCAGTTTTTATATGTGTATGTTTAGTGATGCATTTGGGCATTAAGTCATTTCATACATCAGACATAAAACCAGACACACCATGTAACGTGAATGTTAAAAATTAAATAGAGGGAAGGAAAGGGGCAGGAAAGAGCTAGGGTTATTTAAAAACTGAGTTTAATTCAGGCTTAATTAAAGACTCATTTCTAGTACTGATTATGAAATACTTTTAAATTCATACAAACTTTGTATTACAATATATAATACAAACTAAAGTACAACAATAACTTTATTTTAATGTTTTTTATGCATTTTAAGTAATTTTCATTGTTCTGATTTTGTAACTTCCTCATGATTACCCACTATTTTTTTCGCGAAACCACTGTAATAAAGTCTATTAAATTAGAAGAAAAAAAAAATCTTATTAAAACCAGTGTTGACCCTAGGTTACCGGTGGTTTGAAAATTTTCCTAAGTTTTAGCCACAGACATTTTTAGAGGTCTATAATTATTTACTGAACTGTATCTTATCAGTAAATTTCTAAAAATTTAGAAGCCTACAATATATAGAAACTAAAAAAATATTTCTTTTAACTTCTTAAACTACGGGTTTTGTATAGTGACTTATCTTTTTATTGTGTACAACTCTAGACTTTGAGTCTAGAGTTGTATACAATAAAAAAACTAAAAGGTTTTTTGAAATTTTGTTTTTAAAATATAAAGCTTCAAAGTATAAACAAAACATGCTTTTGCTGCAGAAGTTTTTATTTTTGGAAAAATCAGAAATTTCAAATGACCATATCTCATGAACCACAAATGATTTTATACTGAAATTTTCAGGAATTGCTTTTCTCATTGATATTAACAAAACCACTAAGTTTCATCAAAATCTGAGGGGGTCCATGTTGAAATCCTAAAATTTTGGTCCATTTGGCATGGAACGACCAACATATTTATATTACATATTTATTCATATTACATATACATTTATATTACATATACATTTATATTACATATATATTTATATTACGTATATATTTATATTACATTTATATTACATATACATTTATATTATGTATATATTTATATTACATATATTAGTCTCTTTATATGGAGTTATTAAATTAAGATAATGTTATATTAATTTAGCTTTATAATAGATAACATCAAGACAATTTCACCATGACAATGCAACACTTGGCAAGTAAGAAATTTTAAATAAATAATTAGAGATTTAAAAAACCTGTTTTGGTTCCATAATTAATCTTTTAATACTTTGTTCAAAGCTTAAACCAGCCAAACTGTAAAATTCTGATACTTGCAAATAATATGCAAACATGGTACCACAACTAGAAAAATTACCAAGTTTAATCAAGTTTAAACTAAGTTTAATCTGAACTAAGAAATTTTCAGTTAAACATATATATTTAAAACCATTAAAAAACAAAATTCACTTTATAGGTTGTTGTACAATAAGTTGTCTGTTAAAATAAACAATTATCACCATATTAAAAAATCTGCCATTTTAAGTGCTGAATCCTTCATCAATAAAATCAAAAGTTCTTTTTCATCACTTTCTATACCATAACACAAATGTGAACGCACAAACATATGAGCCTCACTTAATAGTTGATAGTAAACTGTCGGATTAGTCAATTCACTACCTTGAATTAAACCCATAATGTTGCTATATATAGATGGCATAGATGCTTTTGTCATAACAGAGATATTCCAAGAAATAACATTTGCAACAAACTTGATCTTTGATCTGGAATAAAAAAAATATAATATATACGTCTAAATTTACCAATAAATTAAAAAAATATATATATTTTTTTCTAATTGGGCTTAATTTGCTAAATCTTGCTGTTTATTTTAATAATAAAAACTAAAAACAACAACAAAAAATGTTTTACTTAAATTCTAAATAAAATAATTCATATAAATAAAAGATTTATTTCAATTTAAAGAAATGCTCTCTAAAGTATTTATGTGCATGGAAGAAAAGGCTTACAAAAGCACTAGAAAAATGGAGGACTGTATACAATATATAAGTTTATATATATATAACATATAAATATATAATATAAACTTATATAAAAATTTTTTTATGTAACTTTAATTGACAAAATGTGTGAGCAATATTTACTTAGATGAGCTCTGCAATTGTAATCATATTTTACTTCTTGAAGTATTTTTAAAAAGTAAAAAATAAAATGAAATTATTTAAAAGAAAAAAATCAAGTTAAGAATGTCTATCCTGCATAATAGCAAAACCTTTTTAGTGCATTTAATTATTTTTATGAACAATAAAGAAACAGAATTTTTTTTTTTATTATAACATTTTTATTATAACATTCTATTTTTTACTTATTATTCAGATAATGTAAGGACTGAAATAAAATATTTAAATTTCATTTAAATATTTAAATGAAATTCAAATTATAACAAAATTTCAATATGATTTTAATGAAATTCAAACCGTATTAAAATTCTTTTTAAAGATTGGTCAAAATTTTATGAAATACGGTAAAACCGTCTAAGTTTGGTCACTTAAACGTCTAAGTTTGGTCACTTAATCATCTAAGTTCAGTCACTTAAGCTTTGAACATGTCTTAGGCATAAAAAAAAGCTTTTAAATTTCTTTTCTGAACTATACAGACTACTGTTAATTGTAAAAACAAAATAATAAGAATAAAAACTGTCAAACTAGCTGTTCTCATTTGAAACAAAAAAAGTATTTTGTTTCAAATTAGAACAGTTAGTTTGACTGAACTTTTAATACCATCTCATAAGTTTGATCACCAAATAATTCACCTGAACTGTTATTTATAAGCGAAGTTTTGCACTGTTTCACTATTTTTCACCTGAACTGTTATTTAAAACAGAAGTTTTGCACTGTTTCACTGTTTTTCACCTGAACTGTTATTTATAAGTGAAGTTTTGCACTGTTTCACTGTTTTTCACCTGAACTGTTATTTATAAGTGAAGTTTTGCACTGCTTCACTGTTTTTCACCTGAACTGTTATTTATAAGTGAAGTTTTGCAATCAAAACATCGCAGTATTGCAAGTTTAACTTGCAAATAACAACACATCAAAATATTAGAACAGTATCACAAATTTAACATCCAAATAACACATCGCAATAACATATCACAACA